GACGGGGCCTCAGCTGTGAGGCGTTTAGATTCTGCCCTTGAACTTGCCCCTCACTTCTTCCCCTCGATGCCACCTGCTGCCCCCACACTCTAAGCAAGGAGCTGGTGGGGTCCCAGACTCCTGCCCTGTGTCTCCTTGGGGCTTTGTCTCTGGATTCCTGCTCAGCTCCTCTTTACAAGGAGGAGGTTGGTGGTTGGTGTTCTCACAAGGGCCAACTCCCCAGCAGCACTGGGCATTTCCGGGGTCATCTCACCCACTCCTGACCCATGCCGTTCCCTGACCCTCAGGCTCATGCTCTACCCTGGTGGCATTAAGGAAGACTCTGCTGACCCATGGACACCGTGTCATGGCACGTCACTGGTATCATGTCACCATTTTTCACATGAGGGAACTGACACTTGGAGAGCGTGAGTACGTTGCCCAAGGTAAGAAGTGGAGCTGATCTCCTGGGATCTAGAGTCCGTATCCTAGAGAGAGAAAGGTGTGCTGTCCCAGTGCCTCCTAGCTCATCTCCCCTGTCCCGGACGTTGGCTGAAAGCCCCAGCACAGGGCATCTATTTGGGTGGAGGGGCTTGTTGGTAAATCTTATCTGAGAGACACTGGGGAGCTCTTGTCTCAAGTCCAAGCCTGGATGGCTAGTGTGGGGTGAAGTGAGGGAGCGAAAGGGGAGATATTCAGGATAAACTGAGTCAGAGACCAAACACATGAGGACCGGGCTGGGTCGGGACTATGAGCTAGAGGCCAAAGGGCAGAGACACCAAGGACTGTCCTGCACAGACAGTGGGGCCTGGAGACTGGTCAGTTTTGCTACAGAACCCTCCCCAGTGGCAGAGCTAGAGGGGTGGCTGGGGATGGAACAGGCATCTAAGGTGGCTCCTGCCCTTGTCTCATCTCCTGCCACTTTCACTTGGGAGTGGAAGGCAGGGAACAGAGATGTCCTGTGAATTGCCAGAGGCAGTGAGCCAGGAACAGGGGCCCAGGTGTCTTGGCTCCCTGCCCAGGGGCACCTGATAGCCCCAGAGGACCCTGCTTCTCCAGGGTCAGCCATAGTGGCCAGCCCAACCCAGGGCTGCAGGGACTATTATGTCTGGCCAAAGGGCCGTGCACGGTGGGGTGCTGGTCAGGAGGGCTGGACCTCTGCTGGAGGCAATACCCCAATGTGCAGGCACACTCGCAGATACAGAGCTTCCCCCATCCCACTTACACACACCTCACAGACACGTGAGCACAGGTGTCATGTGAGCTTTCAGCACAGAGCCTGATGCAGGGCTCGAACTCATAAACTGTGAGATCATGACCTGAGCCAAGTTGGGATGCTTAACTGACTGAGCCACCCAGGCACCCCCAGACAGTCTTCTATACACACATAGCTCTCTCTCTCTCTCTCTCTCTCTCACACACAAACACAAACACACACACACACACACACACACACACACACACACACACACTCCCAGGTGAGCAGGGAGCCAGGCACCTGGAGTTCTGTTCCTGTTTTGTCCTTGCACTGTGACCTTGAACAAGGTCACCCATTATTTTAAAGCCTTTCCTGGTGGCTCTCCCCATCTCAGGCCTCCCCCGGGACTGAACACCACATCTTGCACAGGTCCCATCTCAGCACCCAAGGCTCCTTACACTGCTCGCCTGGTTACGAGCCTGCTGCCTCCACCAGACTGGAAAACCCTCCACCACTGCTGCCCAGCCCTGCCCATGGGTAGGTGCTTTGCTGGTGCCCATTGGTCCACACAGATAACGGACTCATTTGGTTTTCCACAGGCCTTGACTCCTCCTCCCAGCCCTTGAACCCCTTGCTCCCCACGGAGGATCTTGTTAAAATGCAGATTCTGATTTTGCAGGTCTGGGCGCTGAGGTTCTCCATTTCTTACAAGCTCCTGGGCGATATTGTGTCGTGGACACACTCTGAGCTACACGACTCATTCCTCCGTGGAATCCAGCATGCTCTCTGCCACCTCCCACAAATGGCCACAAGCCTTGGCATGATCACTGCTAAGGACAGGAATGTCACTACCCAGAGAGCAACATTCCTTTACCATACAGATCCTGGAACTCAAATTCTCCTTCCCCCACCAGGTTGAGTTCTATCTCCGGGCAGCCTTCAGGGATGACAAACAAAAGTCAAGGCCTTCTGGGTTTACTCTTCTACTAGGCTTGGGACTATCTCCTTTGTACATTCTAAAGTTGGTAAGGTCGCCCTAATGTGTGATGAGAACTGCATACAACCCTCCAAGGAGGCCTGGCCAGAGCAGATGCAGGGAAGCAATCGCCTCCTTTAATCTGTAATTCATACTCCAATTGACTCATTCTGCTGGCCCGTATTTACCTTGTGGTCACCAAAGGACACCAGAGCTTTGGCCTCACACAAGTTCCTATGATAGGACTATCCTGGTGAGTGATGATTCTGTTACACAACAGTCTTGAGGAATGTGGTTTGTAGTCAATAAGTGGGGCCTCCTCCTTCCTCCCCTCTGACCATGTACTGACTCAGAGATCTGTGCAGTAACCTTGGTGGCTGGCTACCGGTGTGTTCTCTCCAGCAGGTTTGGCATTTCCTCTGTATTTTTGTCCTGCCTATTTCCCTCCACCCCACCATGGTTCCAGAACCACAAACTCACTGCTTGCTTCTTTGTCTCTCTTGTATTTCTGGACTCAGCTATAGTAGGAGAAGGTTTAAATTAAGGAGCCTGATACAAATGTCAACCCATCTTTTCCCTAGGAGCCACATTAGCCCCCAGGCCTTGAAGACCTACTATGTGCCACACAGGGGTCAAGGCGCTACTTGGATGTATCATTGGCTTGACTCCAAAGTGCTACAGAAAAACAGGCAAGAGGGGGTGGTATGAATCACAACACTTCATCCATCCATCCAACCATCCATCTATCCATCCACTCATCCATCCATCCATCCA